CAGTCCTTACACTGTATGTTGTAGATGACTCCTGTTTTTTCTTCTTGGGCTACTGGCTCTTGGTTTGCTTAAGATGTTTTGGAGAGCTTTAGTTGGTTTATGTGCTACAGTGATGCCATGTGGTTGTAACAGTCTGTTGTTTATTTTCCCTGGTATACTACTTTTTTCTAGCCTTCCACCATGTTTATTTGTTATGGTTATTCAGTGCCCTTACTTTTTGTCTTTCAGTCTCTGCTAATGATGGGGATGCATATCCAGTTGGAGCTCTACCACTTGGAACCCTAATAAATAACTTGGAGAGTCATCCTGGGAAAGGGGCACAGTACATCCGAGCAGCAGGTCAGGATCCAATGGAAGCCAAAAACAGTTTGGAAGGATGAAGCAAATCTGGACAGTCAGAATCAAAGCAGCTTGGGAGTCTTTGGCTTCTTCCCAATCCAGTTTACCAAAACTATTGATGTTTTGTGATTTAAGTCTGTATCCCAAAGTTGCATGCAGTGTCTCCTTCCCTGCTTTGACTTCTTTTTAGAGGGGTGTTCTGAAGGTCGTTCAGTACAATTAGTATTTCTATATTGCTTTTAAAACCTATATTGAGAATACTAAAAGGGTTTTCAGAGATATATTATTCTCTCTACTTAGCAATTTATGTTTAAATATTGCAGTCCTGCTGATACTTTCTACTGTTTTAGGCACCTGTGGGGTGTTACTGAGGAAAGTGAATGGAACAGCCATTATACAGTTGCCCTCCAAGAGGCAAATGCAGGTAAGCCCTTTAGGGTTTGGGAGTATTAGTGAGGATAGAATGCTAAGCCTCCTTTGAGACCTGGGAATTCTCTTGATGGGGAACAGCATCATCTGCAGGCTTTTGCTACTTTCATCAGAATGACAAAAAGAGTGCTACCCTGCAAGCTGTGCCTCTTTTGGGAATGTGTCTGGCATTGCAACACATGTAGAAAAGGAGGGGGGGCTTGTGTTGTGATCCTGCAATGCTGCTTGTATCACTCTCTCTCTCTTGCCCTATTGCAGATGCCGCTAGTGAGGAAATTTATGTGGAATCAAGTAAATATTTTTGTGTTGAATCAAATTGTTCAGAACTAGCCTTTAAAACTCAAGAGAATGATGATATGATTATACATATAACAAGTTACCAGGTTTCTTCTCACAGAGGATGGTAGCAAATGGCTCTGGGGTAGAAG